AATGTGAATGCCCTGTTTCATCTAACACGTGAGTAGCACAGTGAAGAAGCAGCATTCCATGTATCCATGGGGTGATGAATTGGCTCAGGAAAGTCTTATTCCCATGGCAAGCACATCGACAAATTCAGGAAATTATTAGTTTCTAAAATATAGAATTTTATATGCAGGGTATCATAGAAGTAGCGAAAGTTTTGAGAAGAGGGAACTGGTTTTATTTTCGAATTGCCTCCATTTTATATTCTTTTTATCATAAATGAAAAGAAATTTTGCTTGAAAGCGTAGCATTGAGGAACTCATTGACTAACATAACTTTAAACTGAAAAATTTGTAAATTATATTTCGTTATCTAGTAATTCTCCCTTTTTTATTGCAAAGGGGCTTTGTCCCTGAAGGACTATTGTTTTCGTTTTGCCATTTTGCGTTGGTTCGCTATAAATGTCCGTTTCACTTTTCAAAGTGTTGCCACCAAATCTTATAGTCCTACATTATAGTTGAAATTAAATAATGAAAAGTCTGCATAAATGTATGTATATTTCTCGCATTGTGATAAAACAACAGTGCATAGAGCTATCGAATTTTGAATGACGTAATTCTCCTATGAATATGGGCATGGTGAAGCCCAAATTTGAAATTTGGAATTTGGTTTTTTATCGATTTCCTATTTTGTAAAACTTTAACGAATTTTTGACTAAACTCAAGGATTTCAAAGGGAGTGATGGCAACGTTGTACAGAAAAAAAAAAAAAAAAAAAAAAAAAAAATTTTTTTTTATCTCCAGCGCGCAAGACTCTATATCGGAAATTATAAAAAAACTATTTTGCGATATTGCTGTTAAGCTGAATTTTATCGTTTATGTGCGAAGAATGTGAAGAAAATTTAATAAATAAATGTAATAAACAAAATGTTAAAAAAAAACGCCCCTTTGGACGTAATTTAAAATCTGAAACCTTTCAGTCCCCCCCCCTCTTGATAGTAAGCCGTTTTGATTTATAATTTGTTTTGGTAATCTGCTCATAATAAGAAAGAGTAATAAATAAAAATTTACAGACAAACAGACAGAGAAAAAAATAGTTATGTTAAAAATTACGAAAGTATATCGTTTGCCCACTGAGATAAATTTTGAATGACTAATATATGCGGTACAAGTAATTATGGATCTCATATTGTAATTATACTTTTTACACAATCAAGATTTCTAAAAGAATTGCAATAAAATGATATGATTGCTATAAATTCAAAAAATACGATAGATAATAGGAAGTTTTTCTAATACATATAATAGAATAAATTTGCTAGTCAAATATTGTACTATTAACATAATGACGACGTTCCTGCCTTTAAAAAAGCTATTGTTACGAATTCTGTATTTAGATAGATAATTTGAGTAAAATTATATGCACAATAGTTGCACTTTTCTGCATAATGTAACATGAAAAGCTGAGAGAAAGGATGCTCTGCCGGAAAAATAAGATTGCAGGGACACGTCTATTTAACATCGAGTAAATGGCTATCTCACTAATTTGGCAAGATATCGCCAAGCTGGCAACGATTTAGGGGACTAATTTTTGTCGTCAAACTTGGCAAAAATCACCAAAGTCGCCAACTTGGCGACCATTTGGTCCGGTCCCTGTATAACTGTAATGGATATTGTAATTGATGTTCTGTGTAGCTGCATCCGTATTCGGCTCTCATATGCCTTCCAGTAATAGAGTGCCCCCATGCCCCAAAGACACTATACATTTACAAACATCCATACCCTCTCCGGGATTCAAATTCGGCTCTTCGGTACGGTAGTCAGAACCACTAATAATTTTTTTAAAACTTTTATCTATTATGAAACACCATTATAAAGTGTAGGCCACCTCGTATGTGATATTCTCATAAATTCGAGGCAACATATTGTTGCGTTTTTCTTTTCTGACACCTCCACTTCAGGCACTTGAAAATCAGGAACTTTATTTACATGAATTATTTCTTCACCTCTTTGGCCAGTGTTCTCAGGACAGCTCCAAAACACTTTTACAGTCGTCGAGGATCTGCTATAAACACGCTGGAACAATCAGTGACACAGCCTTTATACTGTCCGGCAATAACGGTGGAGACAGCTTCACTGCAAAGCACCAGAGTACAGCTCCCGACTCTGCTCGGTCGTTCTCGTAACTCCACGTACTCTCGAGACTATCCACGCTACAACTCACGATACACTCGACGACACACAGAGCACAGCTCCCGACTCTTCGGTTCAGTCGTTCCCGGAGCTTAACATACTCTCTCGACGAGGCACTAACCGCGTACACTAAGAGACTCATTCGGTGAACTCGACGACCCTCTCGGCATTCGCTGCCCGGCTGTCAACTCGATCGACTCCGCTGGGATTGACTTACTAGACGAGACACCAACTCGATACTAACTATCTCGCAATCTATGCGAGGCGCACACTGACTCTCCCTCTCGACGAGGCACTAACTGACTGCGGACCAGCAGGGTTTATATAGCTTTCGGCTTGTGTTCGAGAACATTCTGGGCTAAACCGGTAAGAATTTGTTCCAGAAGGTTCTCCATCCGTCCGTGGTATATCGCCAATTTTGTCGCCAAATGGGCGATTTCTCACCAAATGTGGCAACTCTGCATTCCCTTGCCAGTTATTGGCAACCCTGAAACTGCTTTGCGGGGAAGCTATCTTACCGCGCCTGTACATTTCGTAACAATATTGTTTAAGTTTTTTTAAATGCCCGATATAAAATTGGGTAAGGCTTATTAAAATGTGTCTCTTACACCCTCAATATACTGTTCATTCACTTTACTTCCAATAATGTTGCACGATTCCCTAAAGCACTGAGTTAGATCCACTAAAAACCATCTAAGCAATCTAAAACACCTACTTACTTATTATAATGCGTCTAAAATAACGAGCTTAGCTGAACATATCTTATATATACGTATTTCGAAGGCTTACATTTAGCTTACAACTGTACAAATTCATCTGAAACAAAATCTTATATATAACATAATATCTAATATAATTTATTAAAAATTTTATGTTTATAAAAATGCAAAATACGACACTGGAATAGTAAAGAACATTGTTGAAAGCGCTGTCAGCCTAGCGACGTTAACACTGTATTTAAATTAATAACTAAATGGCGATTATGCTTCAGCAAACGAGATCCTTAATCAGTTTCATTTTGATGAAGCTTGAAACATCATGTAAACGTTACTTGAATATGGATGGTTTAGCAATCACAGTATTTTTCAAGAGGATAGAATTTATTCCTTCACTTTACTGTCCATTCTACTGCATAACAAATACCAGGAGCATCTTATATTTTCATATAGTGTTCGTAATATGTGTGCACCACGCCTAACATGTTTCACATGCGCTGCTGACACAGAAGAAAGATTGTGATTCAAAAGTTGAAATATAGATTTTACGGAGCTCATATCACTTATACTTCCTTGTAAAATTAATCAAACCTATTCTTATTTCTGTGACGTAAATGTGTTATGGATTTATGTCACAAACACGATGTAATCTGATAATGGAATTCACATTTTCAAATGGAGACAAACTGAAATAAAGACGGAAGCAAATTATTCTAATGCTTCAAGGATATTTATTGTAACGACTTAGTCACTCTTTTCTTTTGAGACAAATTATTTCACGTTTTCAGAACCATGGTTATTTATACACTTGAATATCGAAAATAAATTTTAGCACGGTATATTTAAATATCAAATTAGAAGCCTAAAATAGCACAGAAGAATGGCTTCATCGAAATTTGCAGTGCTTAAAAAAAGGGAAAATATTTTTTATTTCATCATCGTCCCACCAAAAAACTAGTTCCTTTTCATTTAATGCTTAAAAATTTAAAATTCTGGCTGCGATTTTAATGTAAGAAAACAAAGTTAACTTATAAATAAATATTCTTAAAGAAAACTGCATAACGTTTTCTTTTTTAGTTTGTCGGAAATACTCTGAATAAAGTTGAATTCCTTCATTTGGTTTTAGGGAAGAGAAAACGTAAGTGAAATTAATTCAGACTCTTCATCATTAGGTTCGGATTTTTCAAAATTTTGCAGTCTGCTTCATTTCATAATGATTATTCACTTATAAGGCAGTACGATTTGGGCCAGATTAAAGCAGTCTGGAAATCTAGTTATAGCAGTCTAAGAGGATTTTCGACAACCAGTTTACTAGTTTTGTAGGAAAAATAAAATATTTCAATTTTCTCACTGTTTTAATATCACATTAAAGGGCTGCAAAATATAGAGTCATTAGCTGTGTTCTTGTACACCCAGGCATTGATAAGAACCTGGACAGTGCTCCTTTCGGTATTTTTCCATTTTGACATTTCGAAAACTATTGGACTAAATTACTGAAAGTAAATAATAGTGAGCAATCTGAGTAAAGGGCATTTATTTGAGGCAAACTTGTAAGTGTAGTACACTAGTTTTCTTATGGCACGTAAAAGATTTATCGTGATTAACATTCTAGCAACATAGAAAATCCATGTAAGATCTCACATACAAATAGTTTAAATGCTACCAAAACAACATTTTTCTGAATTCAACATAGAAAGACGCTTATACTTACAGAAATTATAAAGCTCAGGCGAGTGAAGAAGGGGCCCGACAAAAAAGCACTGAACTACTATGTTACTAAGCAGTGAGAAAACGAAAACCTTTTTAAAAATATTATAATCGATTAATCGAAACGCATTGAAACATGTTCAAATCGATAAAATGTATTAGTACAACATTATTTATTTTTGTTACATTTTTGTCATTTTAATTTAATTTCACGAGAGTATATTCACACTGAACTATAACTGCTGTCATATTTATTTTATAATAAATATGTGTATTTAATTGTAATAAATAATATTACAATTTAATAAATTATGTATCATAAAAACAAATATAAATGCATATTTGTCTTTATTTTAAAATAAAATTAGATAAATTGAAATGTTAAGAAAAGTTTAAGAGTAATACTGAGTTTTATAAAACAACGAAAATTTTTAATCTAAACTGGCTAACTGCTGTAAAATTGTATAAAAGTTTCCTTTTCCCCGAGTTAACAGTTTTCTGAGGCAGCACTGATGCCATGCTTCGGATAAGCTGAATTCTACCATAGCCTGAAATAAAAAGTGTTGGTTCCAAAAAACTTTGCAAACAGTTAATGGGATTGTCAAAATGACTTAAAAATACATGCTTCAAATCCTGTTTCGTCCATTTCTAAACCTGTTTATAATGAAAAAACGATAATCCATGAATGAAAGAACATCGAATTTTTTCTAAGAATATCAATGTGTAACTCTTTTAAAGGAAAGCTGCTCGAAACTCCTGTGCATTCAGACATCGGCAGGTCGCCCGAACACCGATGTACCTTTTCTACCTCGTGTATATTCTTTCCATAACGCTAGTGCTTGGCGTTTTGGCTTCGGGAGTTGTTAAATGACATGCCAATCATTCTAAGCGACTAAAAGTAGATCTCTTATTTGAATGCACCTTCCCTCTCTGTTATTTCGTGTCAAGGTTTAGCTACTGATGCTAGCAGATGCAATCTTCTCCTAAGGGGAAACTGCACAAAGTAGGTGAAACCGCATAATGATCCCCAAGAGAGAAAACCGTTTCACTGAAAAAGGTTATTATTAACGCTGTAGCATTCTACTTGGCACAGGGAAACGAAATCCCTTCCAACAAATATTTCGTATATATGGGCCTTTCAGATGCATTTGCACAGATTTTGGCCTCTACCATTGGGATAGTGTTATCGCAGCAGAGTTAAATTATAGATAGTGCATATGTTTTTATTGTGTTTTATATTGTGTATTATTTTTCTTGGCCTACTAATTAAAAATTATTTTTTATTTATTTCAGGTAAGTGATATCGTACTTCTTTGCTTACTGAATTCTTTGGCCAAGGTTGACTCTGGAGATGTTGCGTAAATGTCGTAACTAACTTCGTTTTCAGCTTTGTACAGTTTTGTAAAGTGAATTCAGGACGACGATTTTCGGTAAGCACAATGTGTTCAAACATTTAATTAAAAATAAACTAAATTTAAATAAACTAAATAAACTAAATAAATAAACTATTTAATTAAAAACAAAAAATATTGAGACTGATCTAAAATGCATTTTTATTCGTGACAGCGGGAATATTGTGACATATGCATAATTTTAAGCTTTGGTAAGAACTAAACAAAGAGGATGGAGCATTATATTCAGGCTAAAAACTTCTGTAATAAAAATGACTGGGTGTATAGAATAGTTTTATTAATGTATAGAACTGAAATCTATATGCTTGTTGTTCCATCGCGAATATATGCAGCCTTATATAATATATGCAGCCTTATACAATTATATGTATTGCTTATTTGTCTAAAAATATCAGGTAAATGAAGAATTAGCTCTGTACCAAGAAGGCTTAAAATTGTAACTTGTAACACATTTCTCTGATGGCTCGAGCAATAAAAATTGCTTAGTTTGGAAAAATGTTACCACAACCTAAGAAAAATTTTCATTTGAGAATTACTGTTTTATTATAACATTCTTACTTTACGATTGAAATTAATACCGAGTACTAGTTTACCCGATATGGTCGCAACTATTCGCAATTTTCTCTCAAATTCTGGTAAACATCTACTCGAAAGAGGTAAACGAAAAATAACCGAAATAATTAAATTTATTCTCTAATATTTCTGCAAGTTTTGCGCGTAAAGGAGTGGTATTTAATTCATTAAGCATAATTATTCGACACTTTTATTTAAAATGATCCTCTAAAATGTAAGATTCTACATTTAAAGATGCCTTCCTTTTTTGATAAAACAGTTCTAATAAAATTTCTAACAAAACAGCTGAAAACTGCTATGATAAAATTTTCTGCTTGTTTAAGAACGCTTGTAATTTGAAGTACAAATATAGAATGAATATATCAAAAAATAAACCTTATAATCACGTTTTACGAACTTCTTAGGTAATATATGTGTCAATTGTAGGTGTTCGTTGACTCATTTCTTATGATGGCCAACGTATTTTAGCGATTGTTTGTTGAGAATTTCTTTCTTCTCAATAAGCAAGACACCTAACAATTTATTCACATCAAACTGTTTAAAAATAACCGAAATAGTTAAATTTTAAATGATCTAGTTTTCTGAAAAGTAGTTTTACGATAAAGTCATTTACAAGTTGTTGGACTTACCATAGTTTATAACTGTTATATCGTCTCACTGCTTTCTTAATAAATCTTCTTATCTCTTTCAATTCTTCATACTGCATTATCTAAATTTTCAAGTGCAGTTGTGCATATAATTTTATTATCAAAACACAAAGGTATGAGAAATAAAACAACTACAAATTGAAAGATTAAAGAGTTCATTTATAAAACAACAAAGTTTAAATTACATTATCCGACACACTGAAAATGCAACACCAAGAAGGAGTTCCCAGAAAGTGATGAAACACGGCAAACAGAGAGAGACAGCAAAGAACAATAAGTAATATTTCGAAATGGTATGCATAAAACAACGTCGGCTCAGTAGGTTGTAGGACCACACTGAACGGCGGTACACTAAGCAACACGGTTGGTACAGAATAAATGAGATTACGGGTGGTATCTTGAGGAATGGCTCTCAATTACCTGTCAACCATGTGCCACAGTTCGACTTCTGAAAGCGGCAATGCCAGGGTCTGCAGATGGCATCCAATCACATCCCAAATGTGTTCGATTGGTGAGAAATCAGGAGCGAATGGTGGCCAGGGAAACATCTGTACACCTTGTAGAGCACGTTGGCTGATCCCAGCAGTATGTGGTCGCGCATTATCTTGCTGATAAAGGGCATTGGGCACTCCTTGAAGGTAGGGGAATGTCACTGGCCGCAGCATATCGTTCACATATCGTTGGGCCGTCATAGGGCTCTGAATAGGAACTAGAGGTGACTTGGAATCGTACGCAATTGCGCCCCAAACCATGATGCCACGTTGTCGCGCGGTGGGGCGTTCCATAATTGCTGCCGGATTGAACCTGTCTTCACATCGACGCCACACTCGTACGCGGCGACTATCATTGGAGAAACAGAAGCATGACTCATCTGAGAACACGACCCTCTGCCATCCTGTCGTCCACATCGCTCGAGCCTGGCGCCATTGCAGACGTTGACGTCTATGATGTAGGGTCAATGGAATTCTTCTTAACGGACACCACGAGTGCAGGTCACTAGCTCCAATCGACAGCAAATGGTTTTGGTCGATATGGGAACATTCAAGATGTCTTGAACACGCTGCAGAGTGGAAGTAGAAGTGGTTTGCGGGTGAGCCACTGATTGTCGGCGAATTTGTCGATTCACGCGTGCTGACGTCATTCTGGCTGCACCGGCACCACTTGAACTGACTACATTTCTATGCTCAACCATCGCCGCCACAGCCGTTGTACTGTGGGAGCGTCCAGGTGTGTGTCAGCTGAGATTTGCTGTACGAACCAACCTGCCCTTCTCAGTTCGTCGCAAAATCGTTTGTCTGCTGCAGTTGCGTTCGTTGACGACGGTCTGGCATTATCTACTATTACACGCGTCCTGTGAGGCAAGAACAAATTTTCTACAATGATTTTCCTAGTAGAAATAACGGCATGAAAATTAAAAATTCTGCACGTTCCTTCCCATGTCTCTTCTTCAACGTGCGCTGGAGAGCTGCGCATTTCACATCATTCGCATAACTCAGTGACTAGCGTCTACCCTGAAATTTACATAACTTTCGAGGCACTCCTTCTTGGTGTTGTATTTTCAGTGTCGGGTAGTGTATAAAGAATCAACTGAAAACTATTCAAGATAAGTCGTTTTTAAACTTAACTTGTATTTCTTACACTTTCTAGGAATAAACAAACAATCCTTAAAAATATATAATTTGGATCATCATATATGAAAGTTGTACTGATAGGATTTGGTATGATCTTTAAAACAATGATATGCTAATGTTTCTGTAATCAATGTATATTTAAGTGTTTGTAAAAAATTGCTTTTGCTACTAAATTTTGCAGTCGTGATCTTTTTCCTCATTTGCTTTTACATCCTTCTCACTGTTAAGTCAGAGGCTATCTTTCCCTTGAACAAATATGATGTGGACGAGATTATGACATCCATATTTCTTTTATGATTATAGCTGAGAGAAAACTATTCTGAAATACGGACAGAAGATTAGAATAATCTGAATTAAAGCACATGTCGGCTTACTAAGGCGTTAAAGAAGCACATGATTTAGCTATAACAGCAACAATAAACACGGGAGAAAAGCTTCTTCCTTGTCTTAATTCTCACCTAACAGTGCTAAAAGCATACGCACTATCAGTAGTGCAGGAAGAATGTGGCAAGTCGGTACACTTAAAACCCCAGAGCCGTACCTACATATTTTTTCACCTGAGGCAAAGCGGTAAATGTACGCCCCCTGGATACAATGCAAGATTATTTATTTACCTATTTGTAGGGGCGGGGGGAAGAATAAATAAATAATACTAAATGATGTTTGAAAACACAACATTATACAAACTCGCGCAATATATGTAAATTTATTTACTAAAGAAATATTGATTATATTATCTCCTATTATAAATTTAGTAGAAGTATAAAAAAAGAGTGAGTCCATATGTAGGAAGTTTAATTCCGAAAATGGTGTTAGAATTCCAACTAAGATTACCACTGTTTAATTTTTATACAAATAGTTTTGAATTAATATGTATAAAAGCGAAGGTGTCGGGGAACATTTACTCAAGTATTTTATAAATTTTACTACATAAATTGCTTTTCATTCAAAATTCGTATTAGTGAAAATGCTTAATTCAGAATGAGTTCTTTGGTACTCTACTTTGGTTCTAAATCCCATAACTTCACGGAACTATTTGGCCTAACCTCATTTGCCAGTTTGGCATAACCATTCTTACTTGAGTAAAAGACGAAACACCTTCGTATTTATTAATTATTGTTCATTGAACGGGAGTTGGTTTGTTCCCCTTGAAAAGTCAACTAATTTCCGATCAATAGCGATAATTACTTGCTTTTAATTTAATTTCTTTTCAAAGTTTGGAATTGTGTATTCATGATTTAATTCAAGTCCCCGTAAAACATTTTTAATAATTTACATTTAAATTACTTTAAAACACAATTTCTGGAATTAAACTTCCTACATAGTATGGGTTCACTCTTTTTTGATACTTCTACTAAATTTATATGAGGAAATAATATAATCAAAATTTCTTTAGTAAATAAATTATTATTATCTTACTTTGCAGCTATTGCGCAAGTATTAGAAAAACTTGTTTTCGAACTAAGTGAATTTAAGATCATACAATATATATGTAAAACGAAATATATAAATAGGCTAAAAATTCGAATTAAAAAATTAGCATAATTTTTTTTAAAACCCTTCCTGTGCTATAGCTGCAGGATTTATACATTTATACATATGCATTATTACATATATATAAGTCATATAATCATACGTAATAGAACAAATTAACTATATTTATATATATTTTATGGTCATTAAAGTTAACTTAAACCCTTCCTGTGCTATAACTGCAGGATTTATACATTTATACATATGCATTATTACATATATATAAATCATATAATCATACATAATAGAACAAATTAACTATATTTATATATATTTTATGGTCATTAAAACTTAACTATTTCAAGTGAAAATACAATAACTCTTACAGTAATATTTAATTATAACTTTGTATATTCCACGAAGTGAAACATATATAATGATTACAATTTTGAAATGGAAAACGTTAAAAATATGCTTTTTGAAAAATGACAGATAATATTAAGTAGTATAAATAATCTCCTCGAAAATTTATGTTTGAAGAAAACCTTTGTTTATTCTTCGGATGCTGTTCCAGAAGGCGTTTATGAAATCGCAAAACTCAGCAGTTATGTCGCCGTCTATGTTCAGATAGTGGACTTTGGCAAGTTTGTTATGACTAAGTAAAGTGCTTAAGTCAAACTAATGAAAGATAGCA